TATAAAAGAACACATTTCTTAGTTGTTTATTACTTCAAAGCCGCTGCCCGACAAAAGTATATCTTACGAAAAATTTTAGAGAGAATTTTCAGTGACATGTTGCATTTCAAATCCCCTCCATCAACCTTTACAGAAACAAATGAAACCAGGTAGAAAGCCTTGCTATGATGCAATTTCTCCCACATGAATTGAGCGAGATCTGCGCCCTGCCCTGTGTAACCCGCATTAACCTGTTCGATGAAATTCATGAAGCATTTCACCACGTTTACTCGGCAGATAAATCCTTCCTCGCAACGGACGAAGAGCAAACCACGCGTGGCTTCTATGCCTTCCCAGCCTTTTTCCAACGAAGAAGCCAAGCCGCTTGCAAGAGCCGAGCTGGGGAGCACGTGGTGCCTCCATGTGCCCAGCTCTCCAGAATAAAAACCCAAAACGCGGTGACTTAATTAGGTGGTCCAATGTATCGTGCTAATACGGCCATTCAAAGCCTTATTCAAGCGATTCCCAGAGCGATCAAATCCTCCCAAACGATCGCTACTCCAGGAGCAAAGAACCATCATCTCTCTCGTTGGCCTTCCAGCCTTCCCCCCACGTCCCCCCGGTTCTCAAATATGGCCGCCTGCGAAGTCCCCGCACATCTTTACCCACCGAAAACGAAGCGGCTGGTGCAAATCGGCGGCGTAGCTTCCCCTTCGTCCATGCTGTCTAGATCCAAGAAAGAGGCCATGGCTGGCCCGGAAGCGCAGAGCAGAAAGGAAAAGGGACGGCAGGAAGACGCTCGAGTGGCGCCCCGCCTGCTGCCCGCCCCGCCGGGGCCGCTCCAATCGGCAAACGCAGCTTCTCTCCAATTGCAAGCTTGTCCGCTCCGGAAGGGACCTTATTCATTCAGGACAAATTGCAGAAATCGCGTGTCCCTGCGTTTGCTATTTTTCTTTTTTCTTAAAAAAACAACAACAGAACAAGTGAGATCCTAAAACTAAACTATGCAAGCGTCGAAGGGGGAAAAATATAGATTGTCCTGTTGTGGGAAGTTCTTTGCTTGTTAGTGTCCCAAAATTGAAATCTTAAACTCCCTAAAAGAAAGATTATGTGTTCTCCGATTCTAGTCCTCACTTGCCAGTGAATATTATCAGAACTTCATGTAGGGCTTGCTAAAGGAAGTTTGAGCAAAGCTCTCACCACACAAATCCTAAAGTCGGGTCATACCCTGATCAGAAGCAGTTTGGGGAAACCTCTTGATGCCTATCAGTCTGAAAAGGGTTGTAAAAAGGGGTTCCACCAATCCACATATCAGAGATACTGTCTTAAAATGGAGAATAGAAATAAAAAGTGGCTATCCTGTCAAAATCATTCCTAAAATCACACATATAATGAAAATCACATCCAAGGTTTTGCGTTTACCAAAGGCATCTTTCATTCCTGACTAAAATCAATATTTATCATTCTGACATCAGAGAACATGGGTAAAAATAGAATTCATAGGACAGTAGAGAGTTGGAAGCAATTCTTTATTAAGAACATTGATGTTTGTCTTAAGGTTTCACAAAAACCATGTAGATAACCTTCCAGACTGCTGGAGGAATGAATCAAATGTGGAAGTTTGGAGGCTAAATGGGTGTTGTATAAGCATCAATCAAGAATTTACTACCAATTATCAAGCATTGAAAATGATAATACAGGTAGTCCTCAACATACCACAACCGACCCCAAAATTTATGTTGAGAGAAATTTGTTAGGTGAATTTTGCCCCATTTTACAACTTCTTGCCACATTTGATAAGTGAATCACTGAAGTTGTTTAGTAACAGTGAAGTGAATCTAGCTTCATTGTCTTCAGAGGTTTCAAAAGGTGATCACATGACCCCAGGACACTGCAACTGTCATAAATATGAACCAGTTGTCAAGCATCCAAATGTAAATCATGATACCATGAGGATGCTGCTAGTCACAGGTGGTCATAAGTCACTTTTTTTCAGTGCCAGTTGTAACTTCAGGCACTACATGTACTGTTCAAGGACTAATTGTACTGTGAACCTGAAAAACTTTTCCTTACTTAACAAGGCATGAATTCTTCTTTGTATCAGAGACTTCACCAAGAGAGTATGTGGCCATCTGTCTGTCAGCTGAAGCAACACTGTAATTCCAATTCCAATACTTGCTTCCTTATACAAGCAAGTAGTCTATAGAATGGATGAAGAAAAACGATTTCAATTTTTGGAGTGGTCAAGGTTTAGATTTAAAGCCAACAGAAATATGGCAAGAACTGAAATGAACAACTTTTTATAACATAAAACTCTGAAATATGATTCAGTTGAAGCATTTTCCATGGAGATATAGGCCAAACTTTCTGTGATGTGAAAGCTAGGAATTTCAGACTGTCAACTCGATCTCTTTATTGGACAAATCCCGAAGCAGATTTTACATATAAAAACAGATGCCCTTGAATAGAGATGCAACAATCAACAAAAGCCACAATGGGCTTGTCACAAACTACTCATTAGTTAGTCTCATTTTCTTACAATTCGTTTAAAAATAGATTGGGAGAAGTGCCATAGCATAATATTGAGATGAGTCCACAGGGTTTTCTGCTAATCAATTTTGTGAACAACCTAGAGATGAGGAGGTTGCGGGAATAACAATCAAGTCTGAACAAAATACAAAACTAGGAGTAACTAAAGCTTTATTTTTCATTTTTCATGCAGTGATTAGGATGCTCTGAAAATAAGAGAAAAAAAAGGAAATGTTTGAAAAAATATTAAGAGATAAAGTGTTCCAAAAGGATTTTCTTTTGTTTTGCACTTTCTCTGAGGAAAAGTACCTGAGAATATTAGAGAAAACAGAATGCAAAAATAACATTACTGTATGAATAAGAGTTAACATACTGGGTATCTCCCTACACACTGTTCCTAAATAATAACCTATAATATGCTACTGTAGTTGCATTTTAGACTACATCATCTAGTCAAACATGGGGGAATTTGATGGTCCATAGATGCTTCAAGCAGGGAGTACATTATCTCAGCATTACCTTACATGCCTAAAGACTATCTGTTGAGACAGTTATAATTTCTCTTCTCAGAAAGAACATTTCAGGTAACAGTTAATAAATTACCTACCATATAGCATCATGGCAATAGATTTTGGTTTTTTCCCCGGGTAGTTTTGAAAACAGATAGTAAAGGCAGTAGCTATGCTGAGCCCGAGATTTGCTATTTTGGAGCAATTAAAAAAATTCTCGGTGCAGGCAGAAAACCAGCTCGCAAAGGACGTTTCCGAGATATGATTTGATTTTCTAGCTATGAAGAGTTGGAGCGGAGTTTGCTGAATGTTCTATTTCTAGCGTTTAATTTATGTGCAGTAAAATCAAAACCAGTATTTCCTGCTACCTGCTTTATAGGAAGAGACTCTCATAAGTACTTGGAATGGATTAGTCCTCAAGATACCACTGGAAAAAAGCAGACATCATATTCTTCCTGGTAGCAAAGCAGTTTCCTTCCTGTTCGGTCAAGGAAAGTCTTGTGAGTTTTGAAGAACGAAGGAGCAGGATGTTTGCAATTGAACTTGATTTATGTAACCTGGTAGTCTACCTTCATTCCATTTTTCATCAATCTGGACTGAGAAATCCATTAAACAGTATAAATTACATATTGTATTGTCTTTCTGTCCTGATTTATCTCCTAAGTATTCATGGCTGGGGTATCTCCCCTCATTTGATCCCTTTACTCTATATAATAAAAAAAAAAATCTAACAGCACAACAGTACTATAATTATTATTTGAGGCTTGAAATACAACCAAATATTGGCAAAATCTACATAGAATTGGGATACAAGAAATTACGCTAGCCACAGATATTCCCTCTATTCTCCTTTCTCAGGCTGCCCTGTCCTTTTTTTGGTACAGAAATACTTGAACTTGTCCAAGTTGTTAATATTTGGAATACATTTATTTTATATCTGTTTGTTCTCTTCTCTTCCCCCCAAACTCTTCATCAGAATTCTTTGTTGTTTTAAAAATAAGACATTAACACAGAGATCACAGTTGCAATTTTATGTCTGTGTCATTTTATTCAAACTTCTAAAATCCCTTAAATCTTTCTCTGAAGACTGTGAATTTAATAAAGGTGTCCTTGCTGGAAATGTGTCTTCCACGCAACTCAGTTTTAAGGTATAAAACGTATTAAAAAAAACTTGTAACTTATAAATGTTGTAAGTTCAAACTTTACAAAAAACTTTATAAACAACTTCGTTGTTATTTATCCCTGATACACAGTACAGGTACATTAAGCTGTTGACTAAAATACAAATTTGGATTAAAAACCAAATTTAAGGAACAGAGCTCATTCTTCACTGTCACACTGGCAGTCCTCAACTAATGACCATTTTTTATGACCTGGTTCCAAAGTTCTAACAGCCGCTGACACTCCCACCCCAGCCTACCCCAGTCATGACTGCATTTCAGGCACTCAACAACAAACTCATACCTGTAGCTATTTACAGTGTTACACAGTGACACGACTGCGGTTTACTTTTCTGCTGAAAACCAGCATTTACTTCTCATTTTCAGCAAAAACATCTCATAGCAAACAATGCATTTGCTTAACAACCATTAATTGAATGCATTTTTTTTTGCTAAAAACTAGAAGTAAATAAATGCTGATTTTCATCAGAAATGTCCATCACAGTCATGATTCACTTAACGACCATGGCGTTTTAATGACCGCCACAAATTAAAGGTTATAAAATCAGATTGCTCAGGGATGATCTGCTTTATGACCATCATGACTGTAATAGGGAGGCTCATTAGTTTTAAACTTTCTACATGTTAAAATGCTTGGACTAACCCTCAACTGAAGACAATAATTACTATCTCATTTCTGGCACTACATTGTGATGTAAATCTAGTTTCCAAGTATCTTCCTTGGTCCAGACCTGTAGCATAGAAGGAAGACATTCAAGGAGTAAATACTTGGGCCGATAAGAAATATCTATTCAATCCCAAGTTGAAGTCAAATATTTTATTAAACTTAGAAATAAGAACTAAAAATATAAAACAAGAAAAGTCAAGACAAATGACAAAAGAGCGACATGACAGTTTCAATTTTACATAATCTGGTTAATAGTATTTCCAACCTTTATGAAGTCCAGGAAGGCAATCTTTTTTTAAAAAAGGGCTTTTCTGTTTAAACAGTATGAAATTGAGAGATAAAAAGTATGATATATAAAACAGCTAAATCTGGAAAACTGTGCATACCTGGGATCCAAACAAGGAGGCAAATGAATTTTCAGTTTGATGCCTTCGAAATCCTTACTTAAATGACTAAGCCAGGTATCTGGATGTGTTAAGGCTATAATGTCCATAATCCCCAATCAGTGTAGGCTAATAAACTGAGTTGCATTGTGAAGTATTGAAGTTCACCACACTGTCCACTGTACTGCAGGACAGAAATGACCCCCAAATGATACTGTATATATCACAAATGTTAATTCATATGTAACACATTTCTACTATCTGAATAGAAATTTAACCTACAATAAAATTTACTCATTAAATATTTCATTCGTCATGCTAAAATACTTAATTCTAAAATGAATTAAAAAAATAATCCGGACATGTTATACGAAAATTGTTTCTCTCTCTTATCTAAATAATTATGGAATTCAAGGGTTTAAAAACTTATCAACTAAAATGGAATCAAAAGGACGGGACTAGTATTAAATATCAGGTCACTACACAGCTCCCCCCCCCCACTTCCTTTATTTTTCTTTCAACTCTCTAGAACTATCGGGCAAAATACAAATTTCAATAAAAAGTTATGATTAGGTTTTGACCACCAGGATCCCTGAACTTGATTGCTTTCTTACAGACATTACCAAACTAGGTATCATAACTACTAGCACTGATGATGTTACCTAGTTTGGTAATGAAAAGTCTGCAAGGAAGCAACCAAGCTCAACAAGCACCAAGGACCCCACAGTTCAATCCTGAACTACAATATTTTCTCCTATCGGTAGACTAGGGTCTATATTATTTGGAGCAAAGAAAAAGTAGAATTCACTTTCATTTAATTTAATTAATAAAACAGATAACACCATTACTCTCATTTTTAATTCTGTCACATTGAAAATTGCTAATTGATGGATCCCTGGAGTTTTTCTTAGGGCTTTAGAGGGGTATAAATTACACACTTCTGCTGTCAGAAGTGGCCTTGATCATATATAGTGATAAAAGACCATTATTACCCGGAATTACTCATCTCCTTTAAATTAGAAGATATTATTTGTGAAATCTCAATAAGAATAAACACCTACTTCAGTAGCTTTTAGTAATGTCCACCTGTATTTACAGCAAAGCACAGCCAAGAAAAATGAACACAAGAGACAGATTTGCTATATCCAAACCTGCACAGTGGAGCCAAAATATGAAGTATCCATTGCTATCATACATTCATTAGAGAGTTATAAAACACAACAGGAAAATTATTATTCTCCACTAATTTTCCTCATTCTCTAACATTATACCAAAACATGCCTTTACATTGACTTTGCAATTTATTCTATTTTTCACATGGTTTCCAAATACAATTTTACAGTCTGTTGTTTTGCTACAGATACAGCAGATCTAAAGACAGTCATGAAAATTGCATTCCAACTGTATGCAATGAAAACTGATACCGTAACTCTGAAAGTTGTGTCAGTGCTATACTTTTATACACTCAGAGCAAGCAACTGACTCAAACTTTCAAGATGCACAGAATTAACTTATAACAGTGATAAATTTATATTTGTTAACAGTATAAAAATCCAGGTGCCCTCTCCCCACAAAATTGCAATAAATCCAACTACAGTACTGTATACACATACACACTAATTAAAACCAAATGAAGTGACTAGTTAGCATTCACTCAAAAGCATAAAAAACTTATGGAAGTCCTTTTGTCCACTGTTTTGTCCTCAAATGAAATGTATTTTCTGCAGCTGAAATGTTCTGCTTTTCATTCAGTGAAAATCAAATGTTAATAAGCAATTACAACTAAGGCCAAAGACTAGCTTCTAGGAAATCGGTGCAAATTAAAATGGCAGTAAAATGCCATTTAAAAAGTATATGAGTTTCAAAGTTTCTTTTAAATCAGAATCAGTTCGATTTCCATCTTTACTAAAAAAAAGTTTCAAAGGAAACAAAAAATAATTTATTGTAGTAGGTGAAAATAAAAACACATTATGTTGGCTAACGGCTTCTTAGAACAAAAGAAATGCATTCACCATTCCTTCTACAACTCCATACAGTTTGTCAGATTGCAGTAAAAATCTTAAATTTTTGGAACAGACAGTGATTATTAAAATTAGGTAACATTTAAATAATATATAAAATGTGCTTTTTGTTATCCCTCCCCTCAGAAGTCTGTAACAAATATGTATGACCTGAAGACCCTGATTTAATGAGTTTGAACAGGGAAGAATGGGTAGCTGAAGTTGTAATATTTTTCCATTCACCCACTGAGCAACTCAGTAGCTATCACTGAAATGACTGTCAATAAGTTTTCATCTTCTTGGTAGGAAGCAATATTTACCCATTTTCTGAAAATCCATTCTCTAAAGGATTGATCCCCCTAGGTCAGGGCTATCCATCTTGTGGTACGCGGGCCAGCTGCGTCATGCATTGGCCATGCCCAGTTTAGCGAAGGGGAAAGTTGTGATACATCACGTGAAGACACCATGATGACAAGAGTTTGACACCCCTGCTGTAGAGCAACACTTTAAAAAAACTTTCAAACTGGCGTTCTAGTAAAGGGCATGAAACATAGCAGGCCAGATCAGAAACAACATCAGCCTCACCCTCTGCTTTTTTTTTTTTTTTTTTTTTGAAATTTGAAGGTGCTGTTTCAGAACAATACCACTTTGCTTTGGAAAGCAAAAAAAAATTACAAAAACAATTAAACACAAAGCGTCAGCATTCAGCAAGTTTATATATATATATATATATATATATGTATATATTTACACACTGAAATTTACATTTCTGCCACTGAGTGACTTTGCCACAGACAAATGCACAATTTATCCCTACAAAGCACAAAGCTTAATCAATTTTCTTTAGCGGTGATGGCCATTTCCTTACTAATAAGCAAAACAGCCAACACATAAAATGACCTACACAGGTACCCTGCTTCTCTATACAGGGATCCCACTTCCGTCTTGCTTCCCATTTCATGATACAAAGGAATAGACCTTTCTGCTGTTATGCAGAGATGGAAAAGCCCCCAGTCCTTCTCTGAGAATTCTTGTGAATCTTTTCTTGAAGCTACATCATATGCAGTATCCCTTGGCACTTCATGTAAGACCAGGAAATGACCAGTAACCGTTCTTCAAACTGTTTTCAGCAGCGTAAGGGAGAGTACAATGGGGTGGTTCTTTCCTGTCAGGCCAGCTGACTGCTGCCATAGAAAGGGCAGGCAATAACAAAACTCGGGCTCACTACTCTCAACTGTTGGTTGGTTCCAGTCTCAACAGGTTCACTAAAAAAAATCCCTTACAAACTTCTTCCAAGAATAACAACATCTTTTGGAAAACCTTCCATTTTGGCTATTTCAAAGCATCCCAGCTTGCTGTAAAATTCCAGGATTCTTTTATCATCCGGTCTCACCTCACAGAAAGCCCCACGGGAGCCTAGAAAAGAGGAAACAAGAGATTTACAAATGAATAAAATCAAAGGAAGACATTTGGTAAGAGAGTAGAAGCAGAGATAATCTAAACTGGTGACTGAACAGAGAACAGCATAGATCATTGTACATTGAGTCCAATAGTTTGATCCAAATTCCAATCACGCACAGCAGTATCATCAGCTTTTTAGTCTTCATGAAATTGCCTCGCATCCAGAAAATTACTTCAGGCACGCCTGGAGCTCTTATAAACCCGTTCTGGAACTTTTTTCAGGGTTTCATATAAAACATAAAGTTTAAACTTCCTGGGCATATAAAACTGAATTGTGTATCTCAGTTAAATCATGGACCTCAGAAGCTAAAGAAAAAAAAAGTTAAACATAAGCTATTCAAGACATACAAAGGTGATATGGTACACTGATTCCAACTTGCAGAGTTCACAACCTTTTTTGATGCTTTTCTGTACCAGTTGAGCAAGGGGAGCTTCGTGCACAAGGCCAAGCTGCCATGTACTCACATGCTCACCCACCGCTTGTGTGGCCCAGTTCTGAACAGGCTGCGGCCTGGTATTAGGCCATGGCCCAGGGGTTGGGGGCCACTGGTATAAAGTTATAGCAGAATGTAGTTACTGCTCTTAAACCCCAGTCACCTGAAAAGCAACAACAAGCAGTTTACCATTTGCCTTGAGAGAGGAGAGGAGACAGGCCATCATGCTTTTAGCGACGCTCGGATCTGTCACTTTTTTATGAATATCCATCTTTATCAGTGATGGGAAGTTGGCAAGGAATGTTTCTGGCAGAACTTCTTGCTCCTCATGAAAGCTCAGCATGATTTTCTGTAATATACAAATACATATTTTTACTATTAACAGTATACATTAGAAACATTATGTACATCTGCTAAACAAGGGCTGTTAGCCCAAAATATTTTGTTAGCCCAAAATATCTTGTTAGCCCAAAATATTGACCCAACCACATAGAAAAGAGGCTAAACTTCCCAAATGCTACGAATGCTAAGATGTCCCTTTCTTCATTTGATCTATGTGTTAAATTAAATGCTCAAGACTAGAAAAACAGCAAGAACTTCCCAGTGAAAAATATTTACACTAGGTAGAATGTTTTTCCTATGAATAAATTACTTGTGAATGGATAGGAATTTTATTTTCTTTATAAAAATGGAAAATAACTCTAGAAAACAAAGCAAGCAGCATAAGACATAAATGCTTGCAGACAGCATTGTTATGGAATATGGATGTCCTTAACATCAGTTGCTGCTAGTAAGATTTGCTTAATACTTTTTGTTAAAGTTTTAAGTTTACTTTTGCCTATGTATTCATATTCTTGTTATACATTCTAATTCCTAACTTCCTTTCTAGAGCATTTCAATATTGCTTCCTCTTTATTCTCTTTCAGTGTTTTTTTCTTATGATTTTGTTGGAAGGAAGGAAGGGAGGGAGATATATGTGCAGCAGATGGGTGTTGTTTAATAATGAAATGGCTAATCTAAAACATGCTCATATACAGATGTCTAAATATAAATGTCTTAATAATTTAAAAGGATATTATGTTAAATGGTCAGACAGAGGTTTTGTCAAGAGATTCCTAGATCTTTTTACAAATATTGCCATAAATCTTTAAAAACTATATTCAACACTCATAGGCATGCACACACAAAAGCATAAGCCAGGGGTGTCAAACTCAATTTCACTGAGGGCCATTGAGGGCCGCATCAGGGCTGTAGTTGACCTTGGGGGGGCAGGTGGGCAAGGCCAACTGGGTGGACGCTTGACGCCACTCCCCAAACTGCTGGCATGTTTCTTCTTTGCATTGGGTAGACTGGGCCGGCGCCACGCCAGCCTGATCTTTCCTCTTCACACTGGGTGGACCAGGATGGCCCCACAGGCAGGATCTGACCACATCACAGGCCTTGAGTTTGACGGGCCTTGAGTTTGACACCCCTGGCATAAGCTATAAAGTTTTCATAACCTTGATGGGCATCGTTTTCATGAGCGGCCATGGAATTATTATGCAAATGATGTATAGTAACTTTTTATCACATGCAATTTATAAACTCTAAGTCTAAAATTTAACACTGGACAGGAGGACCTGCATACATTGTTCCCACTAAAATAGAACTGAAACACATATCATATTACTTGTTCATATCATACAATAAGCTGGCATGACTTACCTCAGCCTCTGATAGTTCCTTATCGCTGCTTGGCTTGCTATATTTCTCCTGCATGAAAGGAATCCAGGCAATTTTACATTTCTTAATGAAAGGGGTTACATCAACAGTACCCAGCGCATAACCACAGATGCCATCTTCATCTTCCAGAACAAAGCAGTAATCTGGACTCAGGGAAAGCAAGCCACCCACCAACCTGAGAGGAAAGGAGTAGTGAATGAGACCGAAAGCAACAAAAATTTCAAATCACAAAAACTACATTAAATAATAGACAACAGCCGCAAAACGTATCTACAGAAAAGCAAAACCACTTATATAATGCATGGGAACAAAACCTGGAAGATATGAATTAATAAATGAAATAAATAAAAACTGTGCATATTATACAATACATTCAAACTTAAAACATTTAGTTGGGCCAGTAGGGTGTGTTGTGCTTTCTAATGAAACTGCCTATTAAAACCTTTAAAGGATCTGGTAATATATTATGGGAGGTTTCAAAAAAAACTTAGAGGTAATGGCAAAAAGAGAAGATGGGGCCATATCAGTTCATGAAAAAAATCCACACCTAAGTGGATTTAAAGAGCCTTTGGAGATAGGTACTTTAGACAGTGAGAAAACAGATTTGAACTAGCCATTTCTTAAACTTGAAATTCTAGATCGAGCATGAAGAGGGAAAGGACAAGTAAAACAGTAAAGCTAGATTTACTAAAGAACAGCAGAACAATCTCTTTCCCCTAAATTATAATACTACAGTAACATGAAAGAAATTTCTGAAGATGAATTTTTATAAAATGTCTGCCTTTAGTACCAATATTTTGTTGATCTCAGCATTCTAATATTAAATTCCAGATGTGGAATAGTGATAGAGGATTTGAACAATTATAATCGCAAGATACACATACCATCCTAGTAAGACATTCCACTTGAAGAAAAGCATCCAGCAGAAAAATAACAAAGCAATAGGTATTAGTTGAGACAAATCTCAAATGGCTTCAGTTAGGGCCTAAAACTAACAATCCTACTTAAGCCAAATAGCCTAACAATGAAACAACTTTTTTTCATATGTTTATATTTTAGAAATCAACCTGCTTTAATATCAATCTTCATTTTTTTTAGTAAGACCTGTATATCTCTAAACACCCATACCAAGTCCTTCTCTCTCCCTCCCTTTGGTAATTTAATTTATTTTCTAACATGGCTCTTTCACATTTCCACTCATCAATTAATATTGTAAGTTAAACTAATGTAGTAGCAAGGATGACCCAGCAAGGTGAGAGTCAAGGAATCAGGGGCCTGCATGACATGGAAAATGTTGTTTCCAATGTGAAAAACACCGTATTTCAAAGTTTTGACTGAACTGCTTAGCCAATCTGAAACTCAGAATGGTATCATTTTTTTCTCTGAAAAAAATATATCTGGATGGCTCTTACAAAATGAATAAAGCAAGAACCATTCCCCACTCCCTACTGTATGCCACATGCACAGGTTCAACTACCTATCTTTCCAGCATCTTACTTTCCCCACCTATTTAGCAAGTGCCACTCCTGGATTCTAGGTTGGTATATCCAACCAATTTACACACTCCCTTCCTGATTCCCAACAATTTCCTTTATCATTATCCTTTAACCACAGCCGACAATCTTACCTATATCCTCCTCTTCCAACCCCAAAATGCTTCTGTATGGAACATGGATATTTGGAGCCTATGTCTGCACCAAAAAATTTCAATCCACAAATAGGTCACCTGAAACTGGTTGCTCCATGCACGGAACATTCTACACATCCCTATGACTGTGTATATATATATATAGTTCAGTCTTTATGTGTGTCTTGTCTGCCTAGAACCAAACGCCTGGCAGACAAGACACACATAAAGACTGAACTATGCACCCTGACTAAAGTACTGACAGCTAACGGCTTCCATAAAAGCAAAATCACCGGCTTGATCCACAAAAACACACTGAGACATAATGGAGACCTAGAAGATGAACAGACCTATGGAACAGCTGTCCTGCCCGACAAAATCAGTAAGATACTACACAGGCATCACATCAAGATTGCCTTCAAAACAGACAGAAAAATAGCAGCTATCCTTAGAAATCCCAAAAATAAAATTGACCTGGAAAACCAAGGCATATATGAAGTCCCCTGTGCATCTTGCCCGGCCACATACATTGGACAGACCAATAAAAGAATAAGTACCCGCCTGGATGAACACAAAAATGCAGTAAAAAAGCTGGAACACACTTCCTCACTAGTCCAACACATGAAAGCCACAGGTCATAGCATCAACTTCAATGGCACCAAAACCCTAGCCACTATAGAAAACCCCAGCCACAGAATTATCAGAGAAGCCATAGAGATTTAAAAAAGACCTGAAAGCAGGAATAGAAGAGATGATTCCACCAGACTGTCAATCATTTGGAAGCCTGCACTCACAAACAAAAAAATTTCCACACCACTAGCCAGGCAAACACCTGGGCACAAACAGATCCCCCCTGATACCTCCAGCTCAAACACACCCCAACCAGGCACCCAGATGAAACCTAGCTTCCTAACAAATGATAGCCATCCATTTACTCAGAGCCAAGCTGCACTAAAAGCCTCCAATACAGGAACACAATGTTGCCAGCCAATCAAGACACACACACACACACACACACACACACAAAGCCACAAAACAGACAGAAGATATTAGAAACACCAATCAAGCAGAACACAGCAAACTCTAAGACCAATAAACACAGAGCAAGATTCCCAACCAATCAGGATGAAGAAAAAACCATTCTGGCACAGCAGTAGGCTAGCCCCAAATTTAAAACTGAAACAACTGTAAAAGTCTGACTCACAGACGAACACAATACAGAAGCCTGATGATGGCAGATGAGATTCTGCCGAAACATTGCTACAACTTTAAAAGCACAACTATAATGACGTGGGAAAATACCCGAACAAAGCCGAATAACATACATACATACATACATACACACACACACCTCAACTTAGCAATGTCAAGTAAATAGTCCTCTCTAAGTAAATTACAGTATTAGGCTTTGCAAGTCATCCAAGGTTTGTTAACTTCAGGAGAAATGTTTACATTGTATTCATAGTCCATGTAGTATAAATTCGTTTTCTTCTAACTCCATAACTATTTCTCAATAGTCAGAAACATGATTTAAAGCAAAAAAAAAAAAAAGGTATTTTTTGCTGAGATTTTTCATTGCTTTCAGAAACTGGAGTCTTAAACATTTGTAATGTATGATCAATAATTAGTTAACCCCATGTCACTATAATTGCGAAAACTACAAAAATTAGAATGTGTAGCCAATACAATCAAATTTCTGTCAAATGCATACTTGTCTCCGATTAGATCGGGTTGACTGTGAAAAGGCTGATCAGTTTCATCATCGTACATTTCTCTACAAATCTTGTACACTGATGCCTAAAGACACAATACATAAAAAATATGTTAAACTTTGTAACATGTATTCTTCTTTGTGAGTCATACTATTCCAATATGAAACAGACATGCTCATTTATTAGAACCAAGGTTCCATAACAGTTCATATTTCACAGATATTGCAACTACTGTTACAGAAATTAAGTTGGATTTATATGAAAAAAAATTACTCTTCAAAACCCCATTCAACAATGAAACACACTGGACAGAATTAGAAGGATATTAATTACATTAATCTCCCATCTTCTTTGATTTGAAATTACAAAACACAAAATTAGTTCAGACTTAGCTTTCAAAGTATCAGGGGTATGTGAAGCTCTGATTCAGGCATCTTATCAAGAATACTTACAATTTTTAAAAGAAACAATAGCATCCAGCTAACTATATTCTATTTGGGAAAAGGTTGGTAGAAATAATGTCAGGGCTGCATGTTATTTACAATGAACCTGAGTAAATTGTTTAAACTTACTTCAATAATAACCTTTCCTATAAAAGCCATACATTTCTCAGACATTCAAAAGACTCTTGAAAAAGGAAACAATTTCCTAGATCAAGATGTTCTCTCAAAAATCAAATTTGCATAAGACCACAAAAGAATTTAGGTTACCTCATCTTTTGGAAAATAGGGCCTGATGGTGTAGATTTTGGAAGTAGGAGTCAGAGGAGGGGGCTGAAAGAAGAGGTCATTTGCTCCTTCAATAGGCAGCAAACGCTGTGAAAATAAAAATTTAATGTAAGTGAAAAGCAAGAGACAATACATTCTTGGGTGCGCACTGCAGACTCCCAAGATAACTTTTGGTATTGCAGGCACCCCAGAGGAAGATAGGATTTTGCAGGCTTTACAAACGTAAGGACCATTTTATCTGAATAGAAGTCTAAGATACACAACTGTTACAAGCACTTAACATTAAACTCATTTTTTGCTTTAGCATTATCTTGCCAAATCTCATCTATGTTCTCAGCATAAGATAGCCATGTGTCAGGAGGAAAGGTTTGGTCTGAAGAGGGTTAACTGGCCAGAGACACTAACCCAAAACAACGTGCTGACTCAATTGGCTGTGCGCAGAGAGCACCTGTGAGGGGTAAGAAAGTAAGCCCCTGAAAAATCCATGAGCAAATTCAAACACAGAAAAAAACAACTTTTAAAAACTGATTTTCCAATTGATTTGTCAAGTATGCAACCAATGTTTGCTTTGAAAGAGTTCTTAACTACAATTGCATCACAATCTCTTCGCTCATGGAGTTCTCACTGGAAGACAAGCAGGCGCGCATTGTGCAATTGCGGGCGCAGATAAAAACGCTGTGCGACCTGCAAAGAAACAATGTGAAATGTACAACTAAAGCCGCAGCGCTTCGCATGCGCGTGGGAATGGCAGCATCTCCTGGGATATTACTGTAGAAATGGGAGGAAAATTATTTTAAAACAAGCTATCAGGCTATTTGGGTTTTGAACCAGGAAGCCTTCGGCAGACCAAGCCTTCCAGCCCTCCGATGTGCAAAAAAAAAAAGATTTCTCAAACAAAGACAATGTCATTCAGTTGTGAATTCATATTGATACCTGGAACTCTCCTGCTAGACCACCTCTAAAGGCCCAGGGTTCTTGGTCTCCACTTAAGAACTGTGCTGAAGATTGACTACGACACCCTGTGGAGATCAGATCCAAGCGGAGAACGTTACGAGAAGGGGGATTGTCCTGAGATACTAAAATGTCCAACAAGCTAACACATACTTTGTGGGAAAAGCTCTCTAACTGAGCTATTATCCAAGAGCTTGCTGGGCTGTAATAATGTTGCACAGTACACAGCTTCCTAACCATAAGGTGCTTGTTTTCTTTATTAATAAAATCAAAAGAATGTTACAATGATAGCCTTAGAGCACAGACAGTCTACTACTGCTAAAAGCTGCTAAGATGCTCCATTTGATACAGGTACATGAAATATACAACATATAAGGAAATAAATGTCTAATTTCACCCAGTATGGGATGTACAGTTACTAGTCATTACCACAGCCCTTAAAAAAAAACTTGGACCTGTCTGAAGTCACATTTTCATACGGTTGGAATCTTGCCAGAAAACTAGGTCTGGTGTGGGATACTGTAGCCCAAACAGCTATGCAGAACAAAAGCCTCTTTTTCAGAGATTAGAGACCAATATTACCTACTTCTCAAACACACAGCACAGCAAATATTTCATTACCAAGAAAGGCAACAATGGCTTAAATTACAGTTTTTATATTAGAAATGCTCTAATTTATATTAGAAATGCTGTAATTTCTGACAGCCAGCCTTACCATGTGCTTTAAAATTTTTGCCACAATCAATGATGAAGCTACAAATTTTAAACCATGACTCAATTTTGAAGAAAATTCTGTTTAAGATATTGGAAAACCAACTAGTATAATTAAGCTTTTAAGGAGGAGATAAATAAATGATGTGAAGAGTATATCACCCCTCTAGTTTTCTGATAAGATAAGCTGCGCAAGTTTCTTTCTTCTTGTGGACAGCGATCTACTTCCTGTTCAAGTAACAATCTCAGATCAGTAGTCACACACATCATGCTAGCCAGGCAGTCTCAAAGCGAATCAAGCTAAATATTGTTCCTTAGTTTCAAATTATAAAAGCAAGCCTTTAACACAGCAAGCTTGACGTGACCCAAAGAGCCCAGTTTGAGCTTCAACTACTTCTATTTGCTAGTCTCTCATAGACAGAGACTTTATACAGAACCCCTTCACAGTAACTTGAAATACTTCTCCTTTGAGATTACACTGTAACTAGCACTTCAACTATTGTACATTTTATAGAGCTGCATGAATGAAGAGCTGTATGAATGAAAATCAAGAGTTAATGCCTAAGTCGCTGCGCAAATGTGACTTCAGCCCATGCCTACAACTCTAATCTGAACTGCCTCACAATCAGAACTTTCCCATCTTAAATTTATTAATCACGACACGCTGAAAGCATCTGGCGTGGTCCATCCAATAGCAGTAGACACTTGTGTTGAAGATTCTCCCATCTGCACACATTGGGGAAGAAGACAGTAGAAGGCATTAGTAATCCATAGTAGAATTATCTACGCTAGTTATATAAACTGAATGCTAGCTGGATTGCAAGAAAAAGTAAGAAAATCAGCCTTCAGTGGACCACTAAGCATTTGAACGTTCACTGATACAGCTTTAAGTTTCTGTTCGTTGTAGTTTAATATTTTATGTGTTGTTATAACTAAAAATCAGTTTTAATTAGATAAATAATATCAACTAAAAATCATTAACCACTGGTGTCAGTCAGAATTCACCATTTAATTAACTTGCAGGGATAAAGTGTTGAGGGATGTGGTGGCTCAGTGGCTAAGATGCTGAGCTTGTCGATCAGAAAGGTTGGCAGTTCAGCGGTTCGAATCCCTAGTACTGCATTACAGAGTGAGCTCCCATTACTTGTCCCAGCTTCTGCCAACCTAGCAGTTTGAAAGCACATAAAAATGCCAAGTAGAAAAATAGGAACCACTTTGGTGGGAAGGTAACAGCGTTCTGTGCGCCTTCGGCGTTTAGTCATGCTGGCCACATGACCACGGAGACGTCTTCGGACTGCACTGACTCTTTGGCTTTGTAACGGAGATGAGCACCGCCCCCTAGAGCCAGAAATGACGAGCACTTATGTGCAAGGGGAACCTTTATCCTTTTAGGGGTAAAGTGTAGAGTAGAACATGGAATATACAAAATTGGTAATTAATTACTGCCAAGTAGAGCAACTTATAGGCTAAAATATAAAATAATGTATATTCTATTTATTTTAAATTTTGTTTGTTAGGCCTTTAGATTCAAAAAAATTTTTTTTTAAAGAATCAATTAGTAGCTTGAGAAACTATTTTATTGGGTTAGTCCAGATTAGCTCCACAGAAAAATAGAATAGCAGTTCATTTAAGAAAATTACTGCTATGCAACATTAGTCTTGATTTTAATGGCCACATAGGCTCCCAGCATCTTTCATTTAGAAGGTAATGTGTATTTTGGAATCCTATGCTCAATCCATTGATTTCTACTTCAATTTCTGCCCTATGGAAACAATGCCATTAGTTCTATGTTGCATAGGGATTCCATTAGTGTGTGCCTGTATTTGTACTTATGAAATTACACACTACGCTATGGGCAAAACAGATTTGTCAGTTTAGATTGTTTAATTCTGTATTTTTAAAAATTTAGAAGCTGAAAGTTTATCTGTTGAGGCTGCAGTTTCACCATCTCTGGAGATTTTTAAGAAGAGGCTGGATAGCCATATGTTTTACGCATGGTTTACCCGATTTTCCTACTCATAGCAGGGTTGAATTAGTTGATTTAGAACAGTGGTGTCAAAATTACATCATCACATGACATATTGGGACTTTTTCCCGTTCACTAAACCGGGCGTGGCCTTGGCCAGCACGTGACACATCCAGCCCATGGGCCAGGAGTTTGACAGTCTTGATCTACAAGATTCCCCTCAGTATACAACGCTGTCATATGGAAAGTTTATACTTCTAGTCCTTTATATTGGCCACTGTTATCTTTATAGAACAAGTTTAGTTTTTATCTTGTTAAACTAGCCTAATATTGTGATGTGGCTAGTCACTGACTTCAGTAAAGTGGCTGTAGTGGCATTTTAGCTTGAACAGAAATCATATATTTTAACCTACATATGTAGTGCTATTTTTGCTTAGCAAATTAGCAGACAATTTTAATGAGTTGTCAGGTAATAACTTTATTTATCCAACTGTGTAACTATTCCTAACTGGTATATCTCTCTTTTTTTTGTCTTTATAATAGGAAAAATATCTGAAAGGCAATAAGGATTGCCTGATACTATTTTCTTTTTTTTCCCTGGAAGCTACCAATAATCTCTAAGCCTAATCCAAAGAGAAAGTGGAAGCAGAAGAAGTTAAAATCCTCACAAAAATGTGTTTACAGCATGTGCTATTATATAATGCTGTAACCTTAGAAGATTCCTTTGTCTAGGAAAAATCATTCCCATTACAGAAAATCTATACACTAAAAATTCAAAGTGTTGGCTATCTTAATTTTCAACTCAAGATTCTATTTTATATAACTACTGTAATATAATTTTATGACTATAATCTTAATGATTTATGTGATCCAAGAACTGTAGGCTGATCCAATATGGAGCAGTGAGCTTATGTAGACATTTGTGACTACTACAGAAATGGTGACAAGAAACCATCAGTTTTGCTGCCTGCTGTGTACATCAAACAAGTCCACAGCATATTTCCTTACAGCTGGATTGAAACCTGAAAGTGAAACAAGATCACTAGTGGAACCCAGGCCATGCTGGTGCTATTCCCCAAAATATTTAATTTTTAAAAAAGCTGCAGACACACACAAAAAAGCTCTTGGTTTGGCTTCAGAAACCATCAGTCTATCATAAAAGCAGACTCCAGAGCTCTGTAATTTCTTATCCTTGCCCAAAATTAGGCTTCTTGCAAGTGTCAAAGCAAATCACTTTTGCACCAGAATAGCCTTATGCTAAAGCTCGCATGCGCAGAGAAAGGCTAGAAAGCTCGGCTCCCTCTTGGCCAAGCCCAGTGAAAGGTCACATCTGCAACTGTTCTGTTGAAGACAGCAATAACATTATTGAAACAGAGCAAGCAGCAGATAGCTGAGGTATGGTCACATTTCATAGTGTCATTTCCAATTTTGCTATGAACTTGAAAATACCAAATAATGTAGTCCAGTGTGCATTCAGTCTGAGTCAACACTCATATTTCAGAGATAAAACTTTCAGATTAATTAGCCCAAGAAAAAAATATATAAACTAAGAGCTATTCGGGTAATTGTGCTTTTATTACCAGTTTAATATGAAACCCTAAATAATGCACAAAAACAAAAGTAGTTTAAGTACAACGGGATCCCAATATGAAAACATTAGACATTCTCTTTTTCCCGTGGGCTAATTGAAGACAAACATATATGCTAGCTGACACTATAATTGGTTCCTAAAGAACATACCTAGCCACTGCACAAAAGATTTCACCATTGACATGATGCTCTTGATGTCCCAGACGTATGAGTACATATCATAAAGGATTGTCCGGTTGGCGCAGTTGGAAAGACGAGTGAACATTCCCATCACCAAGCTACACATCTCTTCAAATTTTGCTGCTCGAGCCTGCCATTCTTCAATCTAATAAAATTCATTCAAGTTATTTATGTTCCATTTTTATCAAGCAGCTATACAGATCATCTTCAATTTACAACCATTCATTTAGTGACCGTTCGAAGTTACAATGGCACTGAAAAAAGGGACTCGTACGTGGTTTTCACACTGACAATTGTTGCATCATCTCCATTGTCATGCGTTCAAAATCCAAACGCTTGGCAACTTACATTTATTTATGAGAGCTGCGCTGTCTGGGGGTCATGTGATCACTATTTGTAATCTTCCCAGCTGGCTTCAACAAAGTCAAGAGAGGAAGCCAGATTTGCTTAACAATTACATGATTCACTTAACAACTTACAGTGATACACTTAACGTGGTAAAATGCAACTCACTTAACAACTGCCTTGCGTAGCAATGAAAATTTTGGCTTCAATTTTGGTCGTACGTTGAGGACTACCTGTACTTAATTCTACCCACTTTGCTTCCTTGCCACCGAGAAAGATTCACCTATCTGTTCACCTATCTCTTCCATACCCATCATCAGATAGTGTTAACCAAGGAGTTAGCAATTCATGCAAAGTGTGACAAATTCTATAGTACAAGCTTTCCTAACTGAACATATTTGTTTGGAACTGGATATTAATAGCAGGGAATTCTGGGAGTTGTAGACTCAACGTAACTAGAGCACAACAGATTGAGAATTACAGGACAAGGAAATGAACATCCATCTGTCTGCGTGCACATTTTCCTCAATTTCTCCTTACATTAAATTTATCTCAGAAGCTTTGCTTAATTTCCTTTGTTATTGTGTCATCCACAATACTAAAAGATGAAAAAAGAGTCACTCACTTTTTCAGAATCTTTTCCTTTACAATTCACACTGACAACGCTGCTATTTGCCCTGAGCCATTGGAATTCCCGTAACATTTGAGCCCCTTTAGGTCCATGTTCATAGGGTAAATAAAATAAATCTGCAAGTAGCTGTAGATCTTCTAGAGCCACTGGCTCAATAGTATATAATGGCTTCTCATGGGAGCCAGGCACAAACTGTTCCTTGTTAACCTGCTCATCTGTTTGCATTGGTGCGATATCACTAGCACAGTCCTCCTGCATTGACATCTCTGGAGATTTTGATTCCGCTATGCTCTCTTTATCGGTATCCATTGGTTTCAACTCTTCTGACATTTTTGCTTCAGAGATGTCAGTCAATATTTGGTTGATATTCTTGTCAGCATCCTCTTGCTTTTCCACCACCATATCCATTGGTTCCTCATCTAACTGTTTCTTCTCTTCCTCCTCTTTCACCAGAGTCTGTGACTCACTGTTTAGGGCAGCTCCTTGACTCATTATGGGCTCCTGATATACAGTAGTAACCACCGTGGTAGAATTTAAAGCAGATGGTGCAATTAGAGGTACATCAACCACACTTGTTTTAGCTCCACTGTGGGCCACTTGCCTACCTGTGAAAACAGAGCAGACAGGCAATCTTTATCCTTACCTATCCAACTATTTCACATAAATATTTTCATATATTTCACTTGTACAAATACAAGAATATGGAGTGTTCATTTTGCTATTGAGATTCTTGAAAAGTCCCAGTTATTTGATTTCCATATCATGAAAATTTTCTTAGTTCTTTATATATAAAGAATGCAATACAATCTTTCTGGAATATTGTGACTTAAAATCTGAGCCATTTTGATATCAAGCTATGTAACTTTCTCAGAAATATAAAAATAGTGAAGAAATAAAGTACTTCTATTTTCAACCTCTTCCTGGCCCTAAAGAAAACATTTCCCTTCTACTGCAAATAAAGGAAGAGAATGTATTTAGGCTTCCCCATACGTTATGTGTGGCAAGAGGTTGTAGGATAAAGGGCTGCAGTACCTTCCCTCACTCTCTCTTTGGGGGCTTTCAATGATTGCATACTCTGAATTTAGAAAGAATTAGCCTGGCAAATGAGCATGACAGGGATAGGAAAATCTGATGTTCTATCCATTCTTGTTATGACAGGTCTTTCAGACCTGAGAAGTCAGAAAAGCAAGTAACAATGGCACATCTATATAGAATTGTAGGTTATGAAATAGTTCAACTTCAAGCAGTTCAAATAAAATTTAAAATATTTTGCATGGTTTTATGCAAAAGGAACTCAAAACTTCCCCCGTTTCTCCTTGGATTGCAAAGTCAAGTGTTTATTTTAATTCTGCAGAAACCTTACCAAGGAGGTATTTTTAAACAAAATGTAAACATTTTTAGAATTTCCAGATCAGCAGGGTTAGAAACAAGTGAGCAGTTTTTACAGCTAGCACCCACATAAAGAGCTGCAGAACTGGGTCCAGCAAAGAAACTGGAATCATTTTAATACTGTCCTTCAGTAATATGGTAACTACATATTACTACATTTCTCTGGTTGTTTTCTTGAAGATTCTTCTTCATCCATATTCTTACACTGTGCTTACTCTTTGCTCTTAGCCCTATACAGATGAACTAAAAAACACAACACACTGCTTATTTTTAGATTTGGCTACCTAACCAAAAAAGAAAGCACAACAAACTAGAGAACCTATGGTTTGTGGACTGGCACCAGCCTGTGGCATGCCAGAAATCAGGCTGCACAAACAAGCAAAGTCCCACCTGCAGGATGCAGGCAGCACACAAAATCATCCCCCCCCCCGCCCCCGGTCTGTGGAAAAACCTCTCTCCATGGAACTGATCCTTAGTGCCCAAAAAGTTGGGGGCTGCTGCACTAAAGGATCATTATACTACAACCCGTAAAATCATTATCACGACTTTGAAATTTCAAACTAGGGTTGGGAGCACCAGAGTTCAAGTCCACCCTTAGCCCTGGAAACTCATTAGTTCGCCCAGTTCATCCTATTTTATTGTGGGGATTAAATAAAGTTTGAGCAAGAATCCTACATATGCCACCCTGAGTTTTTGGAGGAAAAGGCAGTTTACAAATCTGTCAAAAAAAAGTACCAGACAGAAAGAAATCTTTTTCTTAGGAATAAAATTTGCTTAATTGAATCTCTTTTGCCTCCACATTCCCAACTAAGTCTAGGACATGGCAGCACTGACATAAGCTTTTAAATCGAGTCTTTATGCCTCAGTGGCTTGAAAAAGTTAAGTTTTGGATATTATTAAGAACAGAGTACGCACAATACAGCACATCTTATCCTCTGTTGAGTTCAAAGTGTTTTGTAAATGCTAACAAATTACAGTAACACACATGAAAGTCGCTGTTCATTTGAAGAACATTCTTCATTCCATTTAAGTTTAAAGCTGAAACAAAGCTATAAATCTTTCTTACTGCTATATTGATGGGGGACTGCGAATTCCTGCAGCCATTCTGTTAATGATAACTTCAAAGCCATCTGTGGGCTATAAAGAACATCTGTTTCAATATCTTCATCACTTCCTTCATTTTCTAGTTTAATCTGGATTGATACTGTACTGTCTTCAGTGTCAGCTGAAGAAAAAAACATAGGAAACAGCATATTAAATGGTGAAAGCTACAATCAAAATTGCTGTGTTTGCATTTAAATAGAACTCCTTTGATCATTAATCCCACCTGCCATTTTAAGAAGATTAATATAATTCTGCATTAAAGTAACATAATTTGCAATTGTTCTACAGTTTGACTTTTAAAGTTATTAAAACTGGCTATGCAAGGCAGTCCGTCAGCAGCCAGATAAAATTTGTTCCTAATTAATAATTCCAGAATAGATAGAATTTGGGTGTTTTACATAAAAAATCAACTACCGATCTCTTTAGTAAGAAATCCCAACTGGACATTAAAAGTCTAAGTTTTTTTAATCTGCATCTCTGTCAAATGATTGATCTGATAAAGAAACAGGTATCGAAACTGTAATCATGTTCACTAATAACACTGACTCTATTATTTTCTTTTATGTGTTTATTTTCCCCTTTCATTATTCTTTTTTGTCAACATGCTTGAAATTTCGCTTCACTAATATCAGCTCTGGGGAGCCACCATATTCCAGATGTCAGCTACAATTTTAAGCCAGTAAGCCGAAGTCATGTTACATGTTTAATTCAGCATTATCTGGGTGGTTTCTGATCATTGCATTTCACTCTTTACCATAGCCGTCAACATTTCAAAGTTAACAACCTTTTAAAATGTTAACTGCAAAATTTTCCTTGCCAACAAACAATATGTTTTCATGTTAGATAATGCATCTTATTTCCTAAAGAAAGCCATTTGATTTGAATGTAAATCTTCCTATAAGTCTTGTATGCCATTCAGAGTTGCTTTTGGTGAGATGGGCAGCTATATAAATTAGATACATAAACATTATTACATAAGACAGTATGCATTATCCATTCAATCAACTCACTCATCACAACATCTTTCCTCACTCCATTCATGTTGGATTTGTACCAAGTTGCAAGCGTGTGAATTGCAACAAAATTAGCTTCAAATTCACAGTTCGGATTAGTCAGGACCCCTTTTAAGCGTGGAATGAGTTCTGTTGATCGGCCTTTATACGGCCCAAGGAACAGTCTTTTCTGATCATAGTCATTAGCATGAATGTTGTCCCAGATAACAGGAGCTCTGCGAATTATTTTTGAAACCTCTTCAATAGACTCCACTGAAATGTCTTTAGATACTACTTTGGGACCTAAAATGGAAATAGGTGGATTAAAAAAATGCGGACATAATTTATTCAAAAATAATAACATTTAAAAATTGCACTAAAACTTTCATTTAAAAAGGCTACATTAAGCTGCTGATCCTTGCTCAAATTAGAGCAGAATACTGATTCTCACCTGTCCATAATACATCAATTGCTGGTAGCAGTTTTTCTCCTACAGTTCGCAAGTAAGGAGACTGAGCAACATTTGGATAACAAAAAGTGCCACAATATTCTGGAAGAAAGGGAAAAAAAACATTTTTAAGTTGAAAGCCCAAAACAGGCAGAGTACTTTCAGGTACTGATAGATATCCTGCCAAGAGAATTACTGTAGGTATTGGAAACCAGATATATGAACTCTGTATTTATATCTTAATATTTCCTAAAATATTTATAATATAATCAAATTGCAAGATGAGCGGCATATAAATTTAATAAATAAACAAATAAAAATAATATACAGACAAAAAAAATAAGTATCACTATTGTATTTTGAATGGATTGAAAACCCATTGCAGGAACAGACTAGACTTTGTGGCTATTATTTTACAGTTTTAAGAGAATCCAGAAGTTTATTCTCAGAATTTTTCAAATCAAAAAAATTAGCTTTCAGAGTTAAAAATAAGGATATGCAAAATATTCTATGCACAAGTTTTGAATGGTTCTTGCACACGAGAAAGATGTTCACTTACTCCACATTTTTTAATCTTTCCAGAGTAGATATAAATTTAGGTAATTTATAATTATCTAAATTACAATTTGATAGTTCTGTCAATTCTGTTCCAGAAAACACAAAAACAATAAATATTTCAAGAAAAAAATATTTTATGCTTTCAAACTTGCAATAGTTTTTTCTGAATTCTAAGAAAAATATGAAGATGCGAAAAACTATTCCCGGAACAAACGATATCAAGCATATATCCAATTTTATAATTAGTAGCTGCATTAATTTTACAACAGTAATACAATGTCATATAGTATAGTCAAAGATGTTTTATCATCAGTTGTGCTCTCTGTAACTTTATAGGCTGAAAGGGAATTTCAAAATTAAAAATACTCGTCTAGTCACTTTATCTTTTCTACATTTGTTTATAAATTTGCTAAAATCCAATGAATTATGGAGTGAAAAAAAATCATTCATTCATTAGACAATGTATATGTCCACCCATCCTGTGAAATATAACCCAACATAACTCCGGGTGGCTGACAAGAATAAAAATACAAACAGTACAAAACCAAAAATCTGGCATCTAACCAATGATCTCCAATCCAACAAAAAACACAATCCTCAGGTCCCAATCTCACCTTATGCAATGCCTGTGGGAAAAGCTTTTTTTTTCTCCCCCCTCCCCCCCTTTAACAGATTTTCAGAATGCTAAAAGGGGGGGGGGGGGGAATTGCTGGATCCCAGGGGGAAGACGTTCCATAGGTCAAGGGCTCTTTTGGAAAAGGCTTGCTTCATAGGTCCCAACAGATTTAAGGAAAGGGACCTTGAATACATCCATCCTATCTAACCTAATGGGAAGGCCAGTATACTCATGAAGAGGCAGTCCTAGAAATAATGTGGCCATGTGCAATGTAGAGCTTTAAATGTAATAATCACTACTATAAACTGTATCTGAAAAGTAAGTGGGAAGCAGCAGAGGCTTATGCAAAAATGTGATATGGGCAAACTGAAGGACACTCAACACTGGGCACACCATTGGATCGATTTTAACTTCTGGGTGGTCTTCAAGAGCAGCTTAGTAGTCCCACTGGGAAGTGACCAAGGCCTCCCAGTCCAGAAATAGGCCTATCTGTCACAAAAGGTACAATGTTCAAGGTCTTCCCCCACTGCCATCTGGGGGGGGGGGGAGAGACACCCCCAAATGACAGTCTTGCTAGGGTTGAATTGGAACTGGCTAATTCCTATCCAAACTTTCCACCACTGAATCGGAAATGAAACATCTCTTGCCCAGCTAAAAATCAGCATACTGATGGGAGCACACCCTGTGCTGGCAAATGACCTCAACCAGTGGTTTCATGTAGATAATAAGAGAACCAAAAGATCCAAACCCTGAAGCACTGTCAGGCGCAACAAACCAGGAGCCAGTTCAGAGATCAAAAGCACTGAGTTTATTCCATGCTACCTATACACAAGAATCATATCTACTGTCAAGGCATATTGGCACCAGATAGGTGCCAATGGATGTCAGGGGTGAAGGTGGGCTTAGATCTCTTTTATGGGGTGTAGAATCATTTATTATCCCCTTTGTGATATATATTGAATAGGCTACTGGAATTAATGACGTTCAGGCTTCAACCAACATACCACTGCCTCTATGCCTCATATCATATCAGTCTACAGCTATGTGGAACTTCTAAAGGATGGCTAAAGGTGACTCCATGGCCTACTGGACGGATCCTTTCTATCATGCCACAATTGACGAAGCTCTCTTGCGGTTCTACTGTTGAAATAGACACACCATATGTGATTTCATATAGGATCTCTGGCAGAAAAGTACAGCAAAAAGAGAAGGAAGAGGAGCCATCCAGGCTAAAAGGGGAGAAAGTAAAGAGAGAAAAACAAACAATTTTACCATCTACTTTAGAGACTAATGAAGCTGCTGCTCCATTGGATCTTCTGCTTCTTGTTACTTCCTATTGACTGAAATGAAATTGAGACGAAAGAAGGCCTCTCCTTGTTATCGGAATGCAAAGCTGGGTCAAGACAGGCTACTTTCCAAGATGTAGGAGTCTTTAACATGCCTCTTTTCTGCTCCATCCTTAGTGGATAACTAGCCTTTCATACAAATTATACCATAATAAAAGTCCTTCCATAGGAACTTTGATAGCATTAGAGATTATCTGCTCTTTGTAAACTTTGTTGTCGATGTCTTCCGAAAGTTCAGTTGATGAATATAGTTACTGGAGTGAACAGAGAAAAGATCTTTGCCCCCTATTTGGGATTCAACGTTAGGGGAGATGTCATTCTCATTACACATTGTATGTTTCTAACATTAATCAAAGACGTAGAAACAAAAAGCTGTGATTTTATAAAGTAACCATCTATCAACAACATAAATGTCTCCCAAAACAGATTAAAAAGTTTAAATACAACAGAGTAATTGGCTATTCTATTATTTATTTATTTTATTGTATTACCATATTTCTACAAACTGCAATTACAAGACTCTCAGAGATGCACAATAACAAGCAACCAAGCATTGTTTGCAGATTACATTGCTCTAGAAATGAGATATTAATAATCCATCTATAAGACCCATGAAGGAACCAGGAAAGGAATCCAAGTAACAAGTGGTTGAGTATGTATGAGAGCACCGTCTTCACTTTCTTTGAGTCCATTGGCTAACATGACTTCCAAGTAACATGTCAAGGTGCTGTCCTCATCACTACAGAATCTGTCCGTGAAGAATCAAGAGACTGCCCACCTGAATGACTATCAGCAAGGAATCCTGCAAACTGGTCACAGAGTTCAGGTGGAGCTCTGCTTGCTGCACCCTCCTAAAAGGGAGTTGTCTTTCCTATGATTCAGAATTTAACTTAGCAGCTTACCTGTGGGGCAGAAGAGGAATGTTTCTGGTTCTCCTAGATACTGATAGATTTCATTGGTGATTGAAACCTGAGCATGGGCAAAGGAGCTGAACACTTCTTTATCTGCTGCACACATATTGTGATCAATGTCATCAAACAATAATGCAAAACATTTGCAACCAAACTGAGAAACCTAAAAGAAAAACAAAATTCTGAGCACTGAAGAATTAGCAAACCTATTCCAAAGGTGATTTATTTTATTTTTAGCTCTATAGTTCAGGTAAAAAAACCTCACCCTCTAGCCAATACTTTTTTTCCCATTTCAATTGCACATAGATTTACACAGGAAGAATAAAGGAAGAGAAGAAAATCAGAATAATGAGAATACACACATTATTGTATTCCACCCCATTTCATGCAAAACACAGTATTTCCGCTTAAGCAACTCCTATGTTTCATCAAGTTCAGTATTCATTAAGGAACAAAAGAGTGCATGTACATATAAAGTCTACAATTGCAATCAAATGTTTCTATTTCCTTCAGAAATCAAAGAAGCACTTTTAGTAATAATGATACTGGATTTATGTATATTTACTAAAAACAGTTCATTAACCTTGTAAACTATTTCTCAGTTATAGCCTGATTTTGAAAATCAATTTGAATAATTCACAAAATTCTCCAGATCTAACCACTAAATGATATTGATGTTGCATTTTTACAAAATCAACTGTACTGAGGCTGACCATTTCCTTCAGTACATTATTAATATTTTATTTTTCAAACAGAATCTTTTGAAATGTATTTATAGAGAAATATTGTCTAGAGATAACACTATATGGCTTTGTTATATCACTGTATACATCAAATATCGTATCCTGCTTTTCTTCCTCAATTTTATCATTACAAAAACTCTGAGGTAAGCAAATACAATTAGTCCTTGACTTACAACTGGTCACTTAGCAAACACCGAAGTTACGAAGTTACAACAAATCCCCCCACCCAGGGTATTTATGACCCATATTCCAAGTTACAATGGTTAGGGCCCCCTCAGTCACATGACTGTGCTTCAGGCGCTCAGAAACCAGGCCACATTTACAACCATTTGCAACATCCATAGTTATGTGACCATGTTTTACTTCCAATTTTTGGTAAAACCAGCAAATGGTGTTCGCTTAACAACTGCTACTAAAAGGCCTCAAAATCAGGTTGGTTACACAAGTCACCCAATCTACAACTATCAGGAGTTACAACCATGATGGGTATTGCTCCATTACAGTTGTAACTCAACATCTGTAGTACAAAAAGTTCTGAAAAACATGTGCACATGAAACAAAACCAGAAGTAAATATTGCTTGATACTATTTAATGAGTATATATAATAAATTTAAAGTCTGTTAGCTATAAAACTAACTACAATTGTTCTAATTATTTGATTCATAATAGATTTACACTGCTGCAACAATAGGCCTAGGCCACAACCAATAAGTTGTTTATTTAATTTATACTGCTTCCCAGGGCAACTATAATATTATTATAATTAGTATTAGTATTAACAATAATCCATATTGCAAGTTAACAAAATAGTGCCCAGTATTTCAAACAATGCTTCCTGTGAATAGTTATACTATAATTACACTTAAATTGTGATCTCCTTAACATTTTAAACAACATAATATGCACAAATGATCAATACCTGATCTAGCTTGCGTTTCAATGTAGATACTTCTTTAGGGTTTGAGAAAGTAATATCAAGTCCAGGGGAAATGGCATAAATAAATTCTATCTCATATTCTTGAGCTGCTGCAATCAGAGTCATGAGCTGTTCTAGAAATAGAAACCAATTATTTTAACAAGAATTGACCATACGTTAATTTATTTTATCAAATTAAAAATTAAATATATTATGTCTATCTATCTATCTATCTATCTATCTATCTATCTATCTATCTATCT